TCCGCTGCAGTGGCTAAAGTTGAAGCCCGAGGCGAGGAGTATGCCAAGCGCATGGCGCAGGCCATCAGCTTCAACATCGGCTTGGAGCCTGGGCGGGGGGCGGAGGGTGTTCCCGAACATGGTGCTGGTACCCGCATTCTGAAACGCTTGACTGACTGTGTCAGCGCAGGATTCTCTCATACTTCAGCCATGTGCGTGGCCACATGAACGGCGCTCGCCGTCCGTCCGAGTCTATCCTTCGAATATTCACGGCAGGAGAAGCAGCTCGAAAATGCGGAGTTGGCGACCGACTACGAAGTCAAGGCCCAGCAGCCTTCTGAGTCTATCGAAGGGTTCCCTCGGGTTAAGATCTTAGCAGTTTTTTTTTTCGGATTGATGTCGGAACTGCAGACGGACTGCGGGATGCACGTCCCGACTGTTTCAGAGGGTCATTGTGAGTTCCAGATGAAAGATGAAGCCTCCAAAAGACTGTTGTGAAAACTAAGCCCATTCTCCGAATGCATCAGCCGCCAGGGCTACCAGCCCCTGAGGAGCCAGTTCAAGCACCGTGGCCGCAGATAGGTTTCAATATCCGTCAATGCGTATGATAATGCAGCAGAGTTTGTGGCACACGAGAGTGCTAGCGCTTCCCACTTCAGGTCCCGGTAGGCAGATAGTGAGAATGTGGTGAATTCGCACTTCAGGATTTCAGCGTTTCACATAGTTTCCAGCAGCATGTCATAATTAAAAAATACATTGTGGAACCTCAGGAACGTGAACTTGGAGACAAACCTTTCCCTCGTGCTAGCCTGTCCAAGACTCACGAGTGCTACGCTCCTGCTCTTTTCGGAACCCTAATCTATCAGCCAAACACACCTTGATAGGTTGGATCAGGCAGGACACATAAGATCGGTCTATGTCTCAGCCATGCCGCCACCACTGAAGACATGAGGGCCTCGATGGCCTGTCTCAACCCCTGACACCCAGAGCCTCTAGCAGTCTTCAGCCCTTTTGTCCTCAGCCCGGCCAAGTTCACAGGAATGCGGCCACGCTGATTTCGGCGCGGGTCGAGCGCCAGGCAGAGCGCGACTTCTTCTTCATCGAGGCCCCGGTTTGGAAGGTTCTGTGGGTTTGTGCGTTCTCGGGCTGTAAAGCTTAGGGTTTGGGGATTCAAGGATAATTGTAGAGTGTCGTTCAATTCTACAGCTATGGAGGGGGCCACGGAACTTCGCTCAAGACGGCACTAGCTGTCGGGCTGCATTTCGGGGCTGTTTACGTGACGTGTAAGTAGATGCAGTATTACACAGCAGCAGATCATATCAGAGCACAGGCCAATCTAGCAAGATGGTACACACCTCAACCACAACCAGAACAACGTCACGACGATGCCGGCTTGCCCACCTGCCTCCCTATGCACTTACAGTAACCCTTACCTACATATCTACCCTTCAAGCTACACCAACCCACGCAAGCAGCGGTGACTCTCCGGGGTTCGGAGGGGTGGAAGCTTTCAGTCTCAGCCAAGTCTGACGGCGGAGGACGGCGGCTGGGACCATCACAAGGGCGTCGAGAACGCCTTGGCCGGGAAGTTCGAGAGTCTTAGCGAGGCGCTGCGATTCGCTTTGGTGCGCAAAGAATGCCTGTGGCAGTATCTCTTGCGCTTGTGCGGTTTAGAACTCTTCTGCGGCAGTGCAGCTTTGTTCCACCATGCTTTGGGGAGAGTTGTGCTTGAAGTGCAGGCAAACCATCAGCTCTGAGCGCGCCTACCTAATTTCACGGGCACATCACCCTTCCTCGGCATGGGATTGGGATTTCGTTAATTTGTTCAGTCCCTTTGCACTTACTCTTGGTGCCCTTTCTCCATAGGAGTCTGCCCAACCAACATGCTGTGCTTGATTTTTAGGGGCCACGATCAGAAGGCACTGGCAGAGTTCGTGGCTGAGCTGAAGGCACAGAACATCTATGACAGTGTGGTGATCGCGACGCAACTCGGAGCCCTCTGAGCTTTGTCGATCTGGGTGTTTGGGCGTTACAAGAGTAAGACTCAATGCCGAGTCCCAAACCCCGAGGCACTCGGACTTTGCCCGGACCCTCACGCCCAACAGCAATGCTGGCACCGACCATGGATGGTCCGGTATCCAGCTGCTTTGGCAAGGTTAGCCATCTTCAAATGTCAATAGGGCATTCTGCAAGCGGGCTTCAGGATACATGCTAGGATGCGAGAGTCTGGGTGTTTCAGCCCAAAGCTGGGTTTGACTTATCCGTGCTATTTCCGACGGCCCGACGTCAAAGCCCTGTCAAGTTCAATCCAGAAAGCCCCGAACCCTCAACCCTTCACCGAGAGAGCTTCACCTAGACCTAAGCCCAAGTCCCAAAACCAACCTCAACGTCCTCACTGCACCTGAGGGTGGTCTTGTCTGGTGCCATCAAGGGCGGCGAGATCTACAACGCCTTTCCGCACTTGGCCGAGGCGGGTGCGGGTTTGTGTGCGAGGCCTTGTGGGAATTGAGGTCTAGTGCAGGATTCAGCTTGACGGCTGATGGCCTTTGGAAAAGGATTGGCTGCCTCCCCGGCATGAAAACCTGTCTGTGCAAGCAGAATATCTGAGGGCTGTGACTTGCGAATAGGCTGAGCCCGATGATGACTTCTGGTGTCCACCGACATTATCGACCCATCAATGAGCCAGCCACTCTTCCCTTCCTGCTCAAAGAGAATCCTCACCATCATCGGTATCGTCCTGGGTGTCGTCGTCGGTTTGTGTCCGCCCTCTTCATCTTCTTTCATCAATATACCGACTTTCTTTTTGTTGCTCCTCCTTCCTGCAGGATTCTCCCATGGATGCAGGGCGCGGGCGGCTGATCCCCAGATACCCACTGGAGAACATGCGGCCCAGCCGCGGTCTAGAGCGCAGGATGAAGCTGTTAGGCTTCCGACTCTAGGGTCTTGCTCCTGGTCCCGCAAGCGTGATGTAAGGCTGTCGGGCAGACTCCAAGCCTCATGCAGGTCCCAGCCCTGAACCTGGAACCAACTCCAGTTTTGATTCTTGATGTCGTTTGTGCAGAGAGAGGGAGGGCAGAGGAACATGAAGACAGTTTTTAGAGAAATCCGACCCGTGAAAAGTCCGCCCCCGAGGATGGTCCCTCTGGCAGAGTGGATGGGCATGGAGCCAGCCCAGCGCTCGCAGGCTCACTGTAGGGAGCGAAGCTCGAGCAGATGTCGGATTTCAGATGCAGTTCAGCACGCCGGTGCTAGGGTTTTTTGGCTTGATCTTTGGTTGATCTGATTGGGGCGTTGTCCAACATTCGCCTGCCTTCATGTCAAAGTTCTCTCATGTCATACGGTGGGTGACGCCCTAGCGAGGTTCGGCTTTTCAGTAGTCCTTGCATGCAGGTGTTCCCGAACCTGGCCAACTTCAATTCCACACACCTCCTTGAGAAGCAGACGCTGTTTCGGCCTTGAGTAAGCTGTATGCTTACGGGTGCCCCCGACCTTAGCTCCTGTCACGTACAGGACGACACATCTCATGGATTCGGGTCCGGGGGCCGGAGTAGTATCTTGCTGATATCGCGCCTTCCCCAAGTTCACTCCAGAACGCAAGAGTTGAGCTTGGCGATCCCTTTTCTGTGTGGGGGGGCTTGAAGCCGCTTGGCAACCGGAGCCACCAGACGTGCAGACTTTTCATCTAAGCTGAAGTCTGAACTCAAGCCCGAAACCTCGTCACGAGAGCTATGGAAGCCATGTGCTTACCGGGCTGGCATAAGGCGCAACTTCGATCAGGCAAATGTAGAATACTCTTTATCCGACTCGATATCAATCCTCAGACGTCGTATGCGCCGTCAGAAGCTCCAAGAAACATGCACAAATCCCTTCATTCCGAAACCCTCAATGCCGTCTGGCTCCAGTTTCTGAGCCCCGCATACGCACTTGTTTTGATTCGTGCCTAGGGTTGTGGGACAACTGCCTTGCTTTGTGGCAGGTTTGGGTTCTTCCGTTTGCCGATCTTTCTTCCTTCTGCATGTGCCTTATTCCCGAGGGTTGGCAGTCTTGTCCCAGAATAATTCATTGATGAGTCTAGGTTCGTGCCGCTTGCGGCTTCTGGCAAGTTGTGTGCAGGTTCAGTTGCTTGCCACAGGAAGACGGGCAATGGGCAAACTCCGGTAGATGTAGATTGACGCCTAAGCTGCTGACGCTTTAAACTCGGAGCCCCAATCCGATGGACACCAAGCTGCATAATCACTGATGGCAGACTTTCCCGTGGCAGCAAATCCAGCCGGGGTCTGAGGCCCGGCAATAGAGTTACTACTTACTACTCACAGCCTGCGCTCCAGCTTCTTACCTGCCCATGTCTCGTGTGGCCAGCGGCATCTCTCTGCGGCTGCTTCTCCACCAGCTCGCCCCCTGTAAAGTCTTGCTCCGGCTGCTCATAGCCACCAGCGAAAGGGTTTTGCCTCCGGTTTCGCAGCCTAACCCAAGTATGGGGATCTGCTGCGCAACTTGGAATGTGAAGTCAGCATCATGACAGCAGGTAGTCGAACCGGTGAAATCCCATCTCTTGAAGGGGTCTGGCTCCACCGACACTATCTTGAGATGTGGCTGGTCGCGCTCGGAGCAAGAAACGGGCTCGTGCAGAAGCGTCCCTTGCCATGCGATGTCGGAACATTTCTTGGAGGAGGCGTACATCGCCCTCCGGCCGAATTCACTTGAAAATTCCGGGCCATTATAGCCGGCCCTGGGTCTCCACATGACCTTCTTGCGCGGTACCGCATCTACTGTCTAGCTTGTGGATTCCCACGCTCTCTCGTTTTCAACAGGCGTGCTGTCCAGCCGAGCTTCTAGACGCTCACCCGAAGTGCTCAGAAGCTCGAGGGACTGGAGTTTGCCGGCATAGCCAGCAGCGTGAAAAATGCACTCGGAAGTTGGGGCATCAGACCGCCGAGTTGTGCCACGTTTGGCAAAGCATCAGCCGTTGTTTGTTCGTTTTGTTCGCAACACTTGTGCCCGCTTGTCAGACACCGGAACAGGCTAAGCAGCAGCTGATCTGCGCTGGCAGACGGTGGCAAGGCTTCTCCGGTCAAGGGCCTCGCAATCACTACTGCAGGCTTCTTCCGAGAACGGCAGAGCATCTCTCGTGCTTTGCTAGACCGGTGTAGTTGTGCAGGGCCTGTTGCTTGCATCCTGAAGGCATCGTCTTGCCATAGCAGCGCGACGTTCGCAACTTCATTTAAATCTGGAAGGTATCGCCTTCACGGATAGTTTGACTCTGCGCGAGGCGGCTGGTGCCAAGGCTGACAAATCTCGGCAGTTTTGGTACAGTAGAGGGCGGCCATGCTTGGAGCATGTGAATGTCTTTGAGATTCAGGATGTAAGTTGCAAGGAAACGCTTCGAGTGAGTAGCAGCGGTAGAAGTCGTCGTCGTAATATGAGATCTATTGTCTTCATGAGGATGATTCTTCTTCCTCTCATTAGGATGAGTAGTATTTATCATTGTTAGTATTATCATCATTGTTTTGGTAATATTTGGTCGCATAGCCGCAGCCGTGGCAGAAGCGGCAGCGGCAGCGTGCCGAGGTGGCCGTAGCAGTGGCGGGAGCGGGGGCGGTAGCATTTGCGGCAGCTGTAGCGGCAGCAGCAGTGGCAGGGTAGCAGGAGCAGCAGCAGCGGGAGCAGTGGCAGTGGCAGTAGCATGCAGTAGCAGTAGCAGTAGCAGCAGCCGCAGCCGCAGCAGCAGCAGTACCAGTAGCCGGAGCGGGAGCGGGAGCGGGCCGCGGCAGCAGCAGCGGCAGCGGCAGGGGCAGGGGCAGGTGCAAGCACAGGCACAGGAGCACCAGCACTCGCACTCGAAGTCGCACTCGCAGTAGCAGTCGCAGTCGCAGTAGCAGTAGCGGTGGTCGTCGCAGTGGCAGAGGGCAGAGGGCAGTGGCAGTCGTAGTAGCAGTCGTCGTCGTAGTCGTAATCGCAGTCTTGGAATCGTGGTGGTAGCGAGTAGTAGTAGTAGTCGTCGTCGTCGTCGTAGTAGTAGTAGTAGCAGACTAGTAGTAGCCGTAGCAGTAGCAGTAGCAGCAGCAGTAGCAGTAGCAGTAGCGGTAGCAGTAGCGGTAGCAGTAGCAGTAGCAGTAGCAGTAGTAGTGGTGGTGGTNNGTAGCCGTAGCAGTAGCAGTAGCAGCAGCAGTAGCAGTAGCAGTAGCGGTAGCAGTAGCGGTAGCAGTAGCAGTAGCAGTAGCAGTAGTAGTGGTGGTGGTGGTGGTGCTGGTGGTGGTGCCGTGCAGATTTTTTGCTCAAGTCCTGTTCCTAACAGGATCTGCTCGAGACCGTCTCCAGGAGAGCCAGATCCAGTATACATTTTTGTACATGTGCTACCTTTTGGCATCGAATGCCTCGGAACCTCCAGTACTTGGAGGAAAGTAGTTTGGCCGTCCTCCTGAATCCGGCCGGTATAGGGGGGGAAGCATTAGCGCTCCTGAACCTGCCAGTACTTGGGGGAAAGCATGGTACTTGGGGGAGGGATTTTCGCCGCTCTTGCATTCCGCAATTCTTTGGGGGAAGCTTTGTACTTGTAGCTGGTCTCCACGTGTCTCTGTTGCTGGTCTCCTCGTGGTTTCCTGATGGTCTGCTGGCAGGTCTCCTGGTCGTCTCGTGGAAGTTGTCGAGGTGGTTCAGGGTGGTCGCGGTCGTGGTCGGACAATTTCGTCATGTGCAGTGTCACACGATCGCTCTGTGTCCGCTTACCGGCAGAAACGCGCATGGTGGAAGGTGCACAAAACTGCCAAAAGGTATAAAATGAAGATATGCAAACTATTCCAGAAATGCGCATCAACAGTCGACAGAAAGCACTGACAGTTTGACGGATGGTTCAGTTAGTTGGGTTGTTTTTGTGATGATATGCTGACTGCGTGTAAGCACTCGGCCCACCCAAAGCCGTCCAAACGCTACGGACATTCCTGAAACTCTCGCTGCGCAGGGCCTCAAAGACGTGGATGGGGTGAAGGTGCTCGGGTTTCTTTCCCTAAGTCTTCCGCACCTGAATTACAGCAAAGGCCATGGAAGGGAATGCTGGGGCTGAACACCTGTCTGGCGCCTTAGCCGTCTTAGCACAAAGTCTAAAACTAGGCCTCAGTTCTTAGGGGCGTGATTTAGGCTTGTAGGTTGTAGGTGCCCGGTTGTGCTGGGGCTCGGTGTCGATGAAGGGATCGGCGATTGAGGGTTGCGAGCTTCCCGGCAGTCTTGTAGTGATCTTCTTGCAAATCAAGCTTCTTTTGAACATGCACGGAGACTCTGTGCTGCAGCCTGCTCATTTGGGCGTCCACCGCCACAGTACATTACGGTCACTGGACTCAGCAGTGGTTCCATGATTGCCCCACCTGAAGGCCACAATCCTTGACTTGCCCTGTATGCAGGTTTCGCTCCATCGTCTTAGCCCTCAAAAGAGAAGTCTGTTCAATCAAGAACCCCTTGTACTGATCTCGTACTGAAATGTGTGGCGGTTCTTGAGATGTATCAAAGCAATTGTTACACCAATCTCTTACTTCGCACACCTCTCTTCAGTCAAACCTTTGGGTGGCAGCTTCCATGTGGTAGCCGTCACAAGACACGAGACTTTCAGTTTTTCCTGCTGCCGGCTCCTCGTGCAGACCATCCACGTGATGCTGATACCACCCGCGCCATCCGCTGGGGTGGGCGACACAGATGAGGTCGGCGGTTCCAGCTCTAATGGCAAATATTGCTCGGACCGAGGTTGAGGCCTAATTCTTCAGACCTTGGGCGGAGTCAGATTAAGCCGCCAGCATGCGAGAATAAGCGGAAGAAGCCGAGCTACAGTAGCATAGGAACATGCATTCTCATACTTTTTTCCACGAAATGGAACCTGGACTAGACGCGATTTTCTCAATAATCTCTGGCAATTCAGTGAGGAAGGCAATCCAGTCCCAGGCATCGGAGCCACGGAAGGGGTGCCTCAACCTCAACAAACTCTCTGCGAACTCCGAGAGCTTGCGCCCACCCACCATCCGTCTCAACTTCTGAATCTGCTTCGATGCAGGTTTCTCGATGTGCAGCTCAAGTGGGTGAGGCGCCGGTTCACTGGAGTATAGTGGCGTGATTCTTCAGTAATACAATCAGTGTTGAAAGAGTCGACGGGTTCCATGCAGGCTGGTCTGAAACTGCTAGGACGTTGGAGTTTGTTTGTGCTAGTACCGTGTTGTTCTAAGTTGTTGCTAACTGCTAACTTCGATGACCGCAGTCTCGTTTCACTATCACGTAGGGCTGTTGCATTTCTACATTCGTTGTTGCTCTTTCGGAGTGTGTGCATCATCAAATATTGAGTGTCAGTTATGTCATTCCATCTTCTACGTATATGTACTTGAACCACTCCCACTTTTGCTCCCCCCAGCGACAGACCATCGCAGGGAAAGTTTAGACATGGCTGAATTCAAAGAAGCTTAACGGAACTCTCAATGGGTTGAAAATTTAAGTTTATATCTGGATCCTATCGTTGTGTCAATAGTTTATTCAACCTTGGCATGTTTACGAAACGCAGCTTGCAATTAACCTCAATGGAGAATTCAACCATCCATTTGGCAAGTCTCTATGCGGGATGATGGCCAAGCATTTGTTTGTAAAAGTGTCTCTGTGTAAAGGCGATAACGGCAGCTGATACGACATAACAACTATTCGCTGATATATAAAATCGGCTCGAAAGATTATGAATCACGGTGCAAGCAAACGAAAGGAAAAGACTGGGATAACATGAATGACCGAATGAATGAATGTATGCATGAATGAACATATTTATGAATGTGAGAACAGAGCGTTTTATAGAAACCTGTAGATCAAACCTACATAAGCCGATCGTAGAATCCTAAAAACAGCTGTGTAGATTGAGTTGGTATAGAGTTTAAGGTTTCAGTTAAGGTTTAGGGATTTGGTATGGGGATCTCCGGCAAGAGCGCATGCGCGCAACACCAAAGATGAAGGACGATACCAAAGCACCCAAACAACCAAAAACCAAAGATGAAGGAGACAATGCCGGAACTGATCTGTTTTTTTGTGTTTTGGTTCATTGTTTTCTTTTGTCTTTCATTGTTTTTTGTTTTGTGGTCTTACAGATTTTCTTATACAGTGCCAATTACCCATATTAATCGGGACAGCAAAACCAAAAGACCAAAAGACCAAACAACAAAAAAACAAAACAGTTCCGGCATTCTCTCTGGATCTTTGGTTTTTTGTTCTCAGGCTGGGGGTCTGAAGCCGCACGAATAAAGACCAATAGCCAAAGACACATAAATATCTTCGGTTGAGTGCTTAAAGCCAGCCGAAAACAGAGCTTGAATCCCGCACCCACGAAAAAGGTCGGAATCGCCGGTGGGAGCCTGGTTTAAAAGGGGTTGGTCTGTCGGGGGGGGGGGGGGGACCATACGCTTATACAGCGTAGTGTTACAGCGGGTTGTGATCAAGGGATTGTTTTTTCCTTGCCGTATGTTGGCTTGTTTTGTTGGGGTTGAGAGATTCGGGCACCTTGTATGATGGTCTGGAGTTATCCCAAATCCCGAGACTCGAGCTCTTCTCTGCAGGCACGTGAAATCGTTGCGAAGCTGCCTGACACAAAAAGCGACGAAGCTCGCAAGGCTTGTTCGAGGGCAGGGGCACATGTCGTGGAAATTCCCATCATCCTATCAATACAAGGTCACACACAAAGAAATCTTAAGATCGTGCAGCAGTGAAACCTTCGACTCGACATATTCCGGAAACGTCTGCAACTGGTGGGGTGTCATGTGTTGCGCTTTCGCAATATTTCGCTTAGATTTTGCCATATCGTCCCTGCTTACGGTTTGGCCTTCGGAGTGCAAGTGACTTACTGGAACAGAAAGGTGTGCAAAGGCTGATGGCAACCCCTGCCAGTTTTGGCGCCGGTGATAAGTTCCTCTAACAGTTTTAGCAACTCTACGGGTTTCAGGGAAGTGTCGCTTTGTCCACCGTGAGATCCTAATGCCTAAACTGACAGTTCTTGCGAACTCATCCGGTCGCCTTATTCATGGAGCCCTGAGCTTTCGGCTGTAGAGGCGGTGCTTCTTGCCCAAGATCTCCTTGTCAAGGCTTCCACCGCTTGGGCCTTGGGGGAGAGCTTGATGTGCAATGTTCACACTTGACATCGACGCAGAGCTCACAAGTATAACTGCCCCAACGGCTAGCCAAGAAGGCACCTGCGCGTGCAGGGTTTGCTTGCGAAGCAGGAGGATCCTCGATCCAATCTCGAGTCTGTGCTAGGCATCTGCGCCCGAGGTGGTCACGAGGTTCACTTGAAGGCAGCTCGCATCGTAAAGCATGGCTCACCGATGTGCAGCGGGTTTTGTAGTGGGACCACAAGTCACGCGGAGGACAGGGACTGCATCTCAAGGGTGCACAGCGTTTAGGTTGAATGGTGTGAAGAAGCTCTAGGATAGGTTCTTCAGTCACTTGCGTTCGATTTCACCCGCCGTTGACCCAACGTGTCTTTTCGCACATTCTGAACCATCTTGACCTCGGAATCGCGCAACTCACGATGCAGTTCCTTACAGCCCGAGAGCCCCGAAACCTTGCTCCACCGAGACTAGACCGAACCCCAAGGTCAAAGGGTTCGGGATCCATTGTGCCCACATCGTGAGTAACATCTATCTGTCGGGTTGAGGTTATAGGTTTTTTGGGGCTTCGCAGAGAGTTTCGGATTAATTTGGGCTTCAGCGGCGCCCAGGCTCTCGACAACCTGGATTTGGTTGGCGCGCAGAGGGAGCCACAGTCTCAGACTTGCCCACTTGACCTGTGACAACAGACCCCAGAACATAGAGTTGTTGGATGCTTTGTGTTTTGCTTCTTCGGGATTCTAGGCGACTTCTAAAGTGAGTAATTTTGAGCTTTTGATATCCGTGTTCCGAGCGCTTGCGATGCAGGGGATCCTTCTCTTCATGCCTTGCCTGGCTGTCAAAGTTGCTGGCAATGCCTCCCACCTTAAACAATCCAGATAAAAGTTAGGTAAGTTAATCCACAAGCATACCTACATACATACAGACGTACAGACAAACAAACATAGGGACATGCGCACCGAGAAACTAGACAGACAGGCCAACCGACGGACCTTTGACTTTGACGCTTTGCGTAGTCTGTGCTACAGTGATTATAGCCCGGCAATTGCGTGACTATGTCACAATGGGAATTCACATACTTGTCAAGAACAACTAATCAGGTGGAGGATTGACGTGAAAGTCAAACTTCCGCTTCCTTGCTGAACGTTGTATGAAGATTTGTTGAAGATGAGCGCGGGGGTCCGCCTCACACAAGTGCTTGAGACGATAAGCAGCACCTCATGTGGGGCGGCTATATCCTAAAATGTACAAACTACCACAACTGGTCCTTGTGAGTAAATGTACCTTAAATGTAAGGTAAGTGTAAAGGTACATGTACTATGAATGTCTGTAATGTCGATGTACATGTAACGTAGACGAAAATGGACATGCACATGAACATGAAAGTGCACACGGTACTGGAAATTGCAATGGCGATGGTAATGGTAGTGGTACTGGCACTTTCGCTGAAAGAGGACTGGCACTGGTAACGGCAATGGTAGTGGTAGCAGCAATGTAAAGGGTAATGGTGAGGGTAATGATATTGTCAGCAGTGTAGCGTATCTTATTGTAAAAGGAGCTGCCACACTGCAGGGAGCAGCGATCCCCGATCCTGAGCCACCGCCTCCCGATTCCTGGCAAGCAATTCACTTGTCTCCGAAACTCTCTGGCGGATTCCTCAGGCGACGGCGGGATCTCCTGAAACAGATTGAGGTGCACGAACTCTTTGGCACAGAGGTATGATAGCCTATATGGCTCCATGCTTCAAGTTCGGGGCTTCGGTGCAGGTCCCTGCTGAACGGTGCGCGCGAATGTTCACATCAGTGTGTGTGTGTGTGTGTGTGTGTGCGTGCAGTTGCGATCAACTCTAACGGGGCACCTTGAATCTTTAGTCGCGTCAGGATGCCGTCAGTAGGTTGACATGTAGCACGTTGTGTTGACACATGCTTAGTCGGCACGTTTGGAGGACTCAAAGCGCTGGTGGTCAGCATGATGCCAACACATGTTTAAACTCCTGGACCCACTGGTCGGCTCGGAATACGAAGCCATGACCAAAAACACAAAGCAAGATTTGGCACAGCTACCTGTTCACTGCATACATTTGATGTCATAAAGGGGTCTCAAGTGGGTTGCGAACTGAGATTTTCCATGCACACGTTACAAGACGGGTTCCTGAAAAATATTGCCATCCAAGCCGACTTGGCATTCCCACCTTACCAACCTGTTCGGGGCAGATTGATTGTCACTACTTCAACATGTGACAGTGGACCAGGTTCTCTGCCATCGACCTGCTCTATGAAGTGACTTTTGCCCTGTGTCCTGAACCCATGCCATGATTCTTGAACCAACAAACGAGGACTGATGGGTTGTGAACCTTCCGCAGCTTCAGTGTTTCGAGGCAGTGGAGCAAGACATCGAGGCCAAGAAGAGGACATGACGAGCATCAGCAGCAAGAAAAAAGTTACTCTGTCCAATTTCGGCTATGATGTGCAGACTGCAAGGCTAAAGAAGGGAATTCCTTAAGTACCAATCTGTCCTCGCAAGTCTGCTACAGCTAGCGAGCACTGCATTTGAGGTCCTTTTTCGCCAGGGTTGCACACCAAGTTGTGCACCGTACAGCTTGAGACAACCAAGACGAGTATACAGTAAAGTTCATGCAGCAGCATCGAAGCAGATGTAGGCCGAAGAAAATTCGAAAGTGTCGGTTCTTGGACAGGTTCGAGACTCTGAGGCTTTGGTAGGCATTTGCAGAACACCGGCTCGCAGCCCTTCTGTGCCTGAGACGCGTTTCCCTTTTCCTGTCACCTTTGGGCTTGTAGTCAGGGATGTTTTCGGGCGCTCGCAATACGGGGTGCGGCATGCGGAGGTTCCACCGAGCGGGTCGCGATACCGGGTGCGGCGCGCGGAGGTTCCACCGGGCGGGACGCGATACAGGGTGTGTGGTCGCGATACGGGGTGCGCCGCAGCGTGTTCCACCGGGCAGGTCGCGATACGGGGTGCGGCAAGGCGTGTTCCGGGTGGTCTGCGATACGGGGTGCGGCGCAGGTGTTCCAGCGAACGTGTCAAGATACGGGGTGCAGCGCGGCGGGTCGCGATGCGGGGTGCGTATGGGTGCATGGGCAGGTCGCGATACGGCGTGCGCGCGGCGTGGTGTGTCGCGATACGGGGTGCGGCGCGGCGTGTTCCACCGGGCGTGTCGCGATACGGGGTGCGGCTCTCAATGACGGGCTAGGTTCATGGCAGGTGGCTGGGTCTTGATACTCTAGTACAGTATCTGACCTTGAATTTAGAAACAAACGGGCCAAAGGCGGCCAAAGGAGTACGGGACTTCAATCGAAGATCGACTGGATCCCAACTGCCGTCTGTAACATTGGGTCAAGGAACTTGGAATAGAGACCCCCTCGCCCACGTTTTTGTATCGGCAATAGGCGGTAGGCCATTGCTCCATGATCGACCTTGCACCGACAAGGCCACAGGTTCCAAGGCCTCGCTTCATATTCCAGAGGAAAGTTAGAAGGCAGGCAGACGCAGCTCAGAGCGTCGAGGGCCCACAGCATTCAGAACGTCGGCGTGTCGAGGCGGCTGGGCTGCTTTCGCCTTGGTTTGTCGAAGATGTCCCGCCATCGAACTTCGGCGGTGGATCAGAAGCACATCGGGAGGTGGATGCGGATGACCAGATTTCCTCATCCGACACAGTGGCATCGCCAGTAGCTGTCAGCGATCCTCCGTCACCCGTCCCGAGCAACGGGTCGTGGTTGGCAGAGCTCTCTGTGCCAAGAAGGGAGGCAGTGCGTGCCACGCCAGTCCAGTTCTTGCAGCAAGAGGAGCAGGCTGTGCCAGCCTTGGAGTATCCGGAGGCGGCTGCAGATGGCGAAGTTTCTTCATCTCATGGCATAGCATTGCCAGGGGCTGTTCAAGATCCTCCGACATCGGGCCCTAGCAATGGGTCGGGGTTGGCAGAGCTCTCTGTGCCACGAAGGGAGGCAGTGCGTGCTAAACCAATCCAGTTCTGGCAGCAAGAGGAGCAGGCTGTGCCAGCCTTGGAGTATCCGGAGGCAGCTGCAGATAGCGAAGTTTCTTCATCTCATGACATAGCATTGCCAGGGGCTGTTCAAGATCCTCCGACATCGGGCCCTAGCACTGGGTCGGGGTTGGCAGAGCTCTCTGTGCCAAGAAGGGAGGCAGTGCGTGCCACGCCAGTCCAGTTCTTGCAGCAAGAGGAGCAGGCTGTGCCAGCCTTGGAGTATCCGGAGGCAGCTGCAGATGGCGAAGTTTCTTCATCTCATGGCATAGCATTGCCAGGGGCTGTTCAAGATCCTCCGACATCGGGCCCTAGCAATGGGTCGGGGTTGGCAGAGCTCTCTGTGCCAAGAAGGGAGGCAGTGCGTGCCAAACTAGTCCAGTTCTTGCAGCAAGAGGAGCAGGCTGTGCCAGCCTTGGAGTATCCGGAGGCGGCTGCAGATGGCGAAGTTTCTTCATCTCATGGCATAGCATTGCCAGGGGCTGTTCAAGATCCTCCGACATCGGGCCCTAGCAATGGGTCGGGGTTGGCAGAGCTCTCTGTGCCACGAAGGGAGGCAGTGCGTGCCACACTAGTCCAGTTCTGGCAGCAGGAGGAGCAGGCTGTGCCAGCCTTGGAGCATCCGGAGTTGAATGATCCTGCGTCATGGGTGCCAAGCAGCGGATCTGGTTTGGCAGAGCTCGAGCTCTGTTCGACAGCGAAGGGGGACCGAGACGAAGAGTTGCATGTTCCTCTGGCGGGTGCGCTTGCGCGGGTCGGTTTCTTGCCGACAATCGAGGAGCACAGCGAGGATGGAGGTGTTTCAGACACAAGCTCGCAGGCATGGTTGTAATGAGCTGATGCTCACAATGCTCATTTTCGCTCTTGGGTATTCGTTGAACTCGGTGACAAACTAAAGGCAGCCTATTTTCTTGCTGCGGCACGTGGTTCCAATCCTGGAAACACAGCACGGTCTTCGTCCTGCCTACTTGAAGAGGCACAGGCGAGCTTCGTTCTTTCCATTGCTTTTGCATTGCATGGTTTTGTCCTGTCAAGAAACAGAGCCAGAGCCGAAAGGAAGCCAATGACAGTTGTGTTTTGCAGCTACCAATGTTCGGCCCTGGTCTGTCGGTTCGGCCCCGTTCCTTGGCAGTCGAACCTCGGACTGTAGTTGCGTTGTTTCACGGCTCGGGGAGTTAGAGTCCAGAGAATGATCTTGCTGAAGAGTAAGGGCAACAGCAAAGATGGCCTGAAGGATGCCAAAGGAATCGTGATGATCATGGTGATTTCAGAACAATCTGGAAGTTCGGCTCCCCGAGAACCCGAAATGAAGCCTCAAAGTTCGAACATATTCCACCCGGATCCCTGTCACACTAATTGTGTTTGCACGGTTCCAACGTTCCGACCTCTACAGCGGCTTTTACTTCTGGGTCCGGCATCTTGACATAGTTTGTACTGGTAGTTGCAGCTCCGTAAAGCGAGGTGGCTTGACAGGCTGTCCTACAGTTGGATGCATTGCAAAAGCCGCATTTAGCCCAGATTTCAGATGCTGCTACGCGTCGCAAGACTTTGCCAATCTCGAAGATGGCAAAGCGAGCGTTGAGAGTGGCATCTCATTTTCCAAGAATGCGGGCCAACGCTTGGCTGTCCGAGCCTTGCGAGCTCCAGTGCTAAGCTGTGTTCGTGCTTGATGTGCGTTCACGGAAGGGCGCATTGCCCAAACTCCGGTGCCAGCGTTGCGCGGTTGCTGCTCGGTGTGATGCAGAAGAGCTTGAAAACTGCAAATCGGACAGAACGGCAATGGATGCTCTCCCCAGGCAGCATCCTGATGCGTTACATTGTCAGTTGTCATGGGTCCTGTTTCTCCGCTTGCTTCAGCTGCACCTGGGAGATTCTCATTTTGCAAGTCCCTGGACTGGTTGCCATCGCAGAACATTTCCCCAGCACCGTCTTTATCCTTTTAAGGTTTGCTCAAACTTGGGGCCACTTTGCTGGGCGGGACACCACCTGCATAAGCGAACCTTGAGCTTAAGCCATCAACTATTGGATAAGCGAGAACCGCTCCATCAGGACATGTTTCACACCGAGTTTCGGGCCTTTAGGGCGCGGGTGAATGCTTGGCTTCCTTTGCCTGGCACGTCTGCGCACGGCTATAGGGCGGATGCACAGCAGAGCTGTGCAAGTTCCGTTCGTGGCCTGGTCTTTCGAACAGAAGCCGTGGCACTGCCTTGTGCAGGCGAGAGTTTCGAGGACCATTGCTGTGAAGACGTACCTGAACTTACTTCGGTGAGTGCCTATACATCAAGACATATGCGGAAGACAGACAGCTTGAAGCAAAAACGACTGGCTCGATAGCCCATATCTGTTTGTTTGACCGAAGCTGTCCGCTGAACAGCACCTGTGCTTGACATTATCAGCCAGCCAACAGTCAGCGAACACATTCTGAAGCGTTCTACCGGACTCCTTGAGCTTCACCCGGTGCGTGAAGTACTCTCAAGTCTGTTCCACGTTCTGAACCGAGTGACAAGTGGCAAACAGCAAGCGTTGAAGCACACGACGTAAGCCCCACATCGTAAAAGGCGGAAGGTTCCAATGCCAGCCATCCCAGAAGGTGTCGGCTGGCATGTTCTACACACCATGTGCGACACGGTCCCCATTCAGAGGACCAGGTGTCGTTGACTCTCAGTTCCCTTGGCCAAGACATGACCCATGAATATAGATCTGTTAACAACGATGAAAGCTAAAGTCCTGCGACCACAAGATTCGCTGCTGACTCACAGCACCCAGCGCAGCTCTGACATCAGAGCGCCATGCCAACCAATGGCTTCCTACCGCACGATTGGAACAGTTTGAGCCTTGCCGGCAGCTTTTGATGGACACAGTCATGGGCATTGCCTCTGCAGGCGTGTTCTGAACCCCAAAGCCCCATGCAAAAGCCCCTTGAAACCCAACATGCTTCTTCCCCCAAGTGTGCACACCAAGCAGTCAAACTCTGAATTCTGAGACCCGAGTCTTTGAAGGTTGCAGAGAGTCCCTCGCTCCCTCCCCGCTGCCCAGGAATGACCCCATTCCGTTCTTTGACTACTGGAGGCAGCGCGGGAATGGAGACATCCGTATTTGGTACTGGTGCATTTCGCACTTCGAACCCAGAAAGCTCGGAGGTGCAGATGACTTTCGCTCAAGACTTTCCCCTTCCAAATAAAGCTAAATGAACTGCCAGCAACGCCACAGCCAGGATCTACACGCCTTTTCGGAAGGACATCGACTCCGAGTATTTCCCCAATGTCAACACAATGCGGTGGCCGTATGGGACGAAAGGACATGTCATGGCATTAGGCAGAGGTTTGAGCTCGTGCACGAAGCAGGCATCAGGTTTCCTTACGATCTCTGTAGTAAGCGCTTCCAGCAGTTTAGATCAGATTCGCCTCGACAGCATGATGAAGTTCTGCCTGGCAGCCATTTGGCTGTTCGTTGCATCAGAAAATCCAAGAGAGCTGAGCTAGCCTGGCCCGGAAAGCTGCCGCATCGCCCTTGCCATTATATCAATTGCGGATGCAACGCTTTCGTGTGCTTGTATCCCGACATATACCTATAGAGCGAAAGATAAGAAAGACTGCAATGGAGCTCGCCTTTGTCCCCCCGGGCTCTGTCTCGGGTCCCCCGCCACTGCGCCGAACACCTGCGACCGGGCTTCTGGAGCCAAGTGCAAGGCCAGCTTTGACACCGGCACTGTTGGGATGTGGTTAGGGATCCCGGTTTGGAATTAGCGCAATCGCGAGAGGCTGTAGGCTAGTAGGGCTACTGGGCCTGCAAATTCATTGCGTTCGAAAGTGGCCGTGCCCAACTTCGAGCTAAGCTGTGCTCCATTCTGGTAAAGGCTCCGGAAAGAAGGCGCTGTGACGGTTCTGGAGTTGGTTGCAGGCTGAGACTTTGATGTTCAGGGTGACGAGGCAGATCCTGGACTAGCGAGCAAACCCGCGAGGCTTCGCGAAATTTGTGCGGCATGTTTCTTTTAAAGGCAGTTGTGAGCTCCTACTTGTGCGACCCAGCCGCACTCACCAACGCACATCAAGCTCCAAACGGCTTCCGCAGGTCGCTAGGCTCTCGCTTTGCCGGGCTCTGCCCAGTGGCAGCAGCGCTCGCTGTTGTCGCTGCTTTGCTGGCTTAATCATCCTTGTTGTCAGCCATTACATCATTACTTGGAGTACCCTCAGACAAGATGGATGAATTCTGAGGAGTGGAAAAGTCCCTCCCCATCCTCCGCTCCCCCATCCCCTCCCTGGCTTCATCTCCTCCCCTCCCCTCTCCTTTCGTCTCCGATTCTCTCGCACTGCACATGCATGATCGCGGCCGGTTTTTGGTTTCACTGATGAGCCATTCAATGCCGAGGTGAAGCAGAGACTTCGTTCCGCAGCTGCTTGGACTCTATTCGGTAGGGTCTTCGCTTGCCGACCTCATTAGGCGCAGCTGACGATCAGGGCGTCTGGGTTCAGCTTCTGCCAAGAAATAATTAGGTTCCCCAAGTTCACCGCGCTCAACTGCCCTGCAGCTGGAAACAGCATCCCATGTTCGAAGTCTCCGAAGTTTCGAGCCGTAGGAGGCTGAGCCCACGACCTGCTTGCCACATCAGGTTTTCCGCTACAGCAAGCAGAACCAAGTTTTTGAGGTGCCAAGCGCTTCATGTGGCTTCGGTTGAAGGGCCTTCTGACTTCTGGTACACTTACCCGACAGGGTGGTTGGGTTGATGGATGCCATTGGGGTTGAGACATCTTTGGAGTTGTTGCTTCTTTTCACTGTTACTAGCTGCGCTAGATTCTTGAGATTTTCTATTGTCGGGTCGAGGGGTTGAGATTTAGTGCAAGATTTGAGGTTTAGGCAACGCAGCCATTGCTGAGTTGCGCTAGCATCGAACAATATTGCTGCCACAAAATTCCCTGCCATCACCACATGCCACCACCAGCAGAGAGGCGAAAATGACGCTATTGAAGACTTCTTACATGACGCTGTTGTTTTTGACGATGGAGATGATGCGGCTGATGATGATGATGATGATGATGATGATGATGATAACGACGATGATGGTGATGATGATCATGATGATCATGATGATCATGATGATCATGATGATCATGATGATGATGGTGGTGATGATGATGATGATGGTGGTGGTGATGATGATGTGAAAGGTAAAGCCCTAAACCCTCAACCCTGAACC